TAGTAATTAATCTTTCGCTACTAAGTCAGCCATAATAAGGCCGAGTTTTCCGTTAATCCAGCTCATTACGGCTGATTTATGATACTCGAACATAAATCAGCCGTAACGTCATCCCATAACTAAGCCGTCTTTGATAACTCAGCCAGCCGGAGAAAGTTAAGTCAGCCGTGTCGAAGCAATAACTCAGCCAAAAATTTGACAAATCAACCATCGGGTGAAAACTCAGCCGTAACTTAGGCTGGGTTATGCTCGAAAGTCAGCCATTTTATCATAACTCAGACAGATTTCAGTAAGTCAGCCGTAACTCCAGGCTGGGTTATACTCGTAAGTCAGCCGTTTGCTCATAACTCAGCCATTTTTCTTAAATCAGCCGCAACATACCGTAACTCAGCCGTCACTGCCGCTATATCGCTCGACGGCTGAGTTCATTAATACACGTCAGCGATTTCTGACGTGGCGACGCGGCTTTGCTGACGTGGCAGTGGCATTCTTTGTAATTACGTTTTTTCCTGTAACGTTTAACAGGGGCACGCTGGGTATAAAAAATATACCCGAAATATGATAGTAATAAAAAAAAGATCTGTATGTTTCTGGTAATTTCATATAAAATGTATAACATCTGAGTAAATCTCCCTATATTATATTCGATGGACATCGTTCTCTAAGCAATGAAAAGACGAAACTGTGTAGAACTTGGAATGTGTATTGCACCATAGACAAGGTTATGTGGACTAGTTATCATGGATATGATGTTTTTTGGTGTTAACTTGTGTGTTATTTGTACCAAAACATCAAAGGATGATCATTGTGCCATGGTAAGATATCCAGAATATTTGAAGTGTTTAGGGTTTACGGATTAATATTTAGTGTTTAGAGTTTAGGATTGAGGGTTTAGAATTAAATGTTTAGGGTTTAGGGTTAAGTATTTAGTGTTTAGGGTTTAGGGTTTAGGGTTTATTGTTTAGGGTTTACGGTTAAGTATTTAGTGTTCAGGGTTTAGGGTTTAGGGTTTAGGGTTTAGTGTTGGGGGTTTGGGGTTTATTGTTTAGGGTTTAGGGTTTAGTGTTGGGGGTTTGGGGTTTATTGTTTAGGGTTTAGGGTTTAGGGTTCAGGGTTTAGTGTTGGGGGTTTGGGGTTTATTGTTTAGGGTTTAGGGTCTAGGGTTCAGGGTTTAGGGTTTAGGATTGATGGTAGGGTTTAGGGTTTAGGGTTTAGGGTTTAGGGTTTAGGGTTTAGGGTTTAGTATTTAGTGTTCAGAATTTGGTGTTGGGGTTTGGGGTTTATTGCTTAGGGTTTAGGGTTTAGGGTTCAGGGTTTAGGATTGATGGTAGGGTTTAGGGTTTAGGGTTTGCTGTTTAAGGTTTATTGTTTAGTGTATATGGTTGAGTGTGTAGTGTTTAGAGTTTAGGGTTTAGGGTTTAAGAAGTAAAAAACGTTATACTATATCACCATTAAAAGGCTTAAGCTTAGCTCATCGTCCACAACTCATCATCCACATATATTATATTCGATGGACATCGTTCTCTAAGCAATGAAAAGACGAAACTGTGTAGAACTTGGAATGTGTATTGCACCATAGACAAGGTTATGTGGACTAGTTATCATGGATACGATGTTTTTTGGTGTTAACTTGTGTGTTATTTGTACCAAAACATCAAAGGATGATCATTGTGCCATGGTAAGATATCCAGAATATTTGAAGTGTTTAGGGTTTACGGTTTAATATTTAGTGTTTAGAGTTTAGGATTGAGGGTTTAGAATTAAATGTTTAGGGTTTAGGGTTAAGTATTTAGTGTTTAGGCTTTAGGGTTTAGGGTTTACGGTTAAGTATTTAGTGTTCAGGGATTAGGGTTTAGGGTTTAAGGTTTAGTGTTGGGGGTTTGGGGTTTATTGTTTAGGGTTTAGGGTTTAGGGTTTAGGGTTTAGTGTTGGGGGTTTGGGGTTTATTGTTTAGGGTTTAGGGTCTAGGGTTCAGGGTTTAGGGTTTAGGATTGATGGTAGGGTTTAGGGTTTAGGGTTTGCTGTTTAAGGTTTATTGTTTAGTGTATATGGTTGAGTGTGTAGTGTTTAGGGTTTAGTATTTATTGTTTAGGGTATAGTGTTTATTGTATAGGTCTTAGGGTTTCGTTCTTATGGGTATAGTATAGTGTTAGAATTTTAGTGTATATGGCATCCCATGGTTTGGTTTAGATGGAAAGGATCTTTATCGAAGCTCCTAGTAGATTAGTTCATGTATTTTATTTTTAAAAATATGTATAAGATGTTAATTTAATTTAATATTATACTTAGCAATGTTTAACAAACTTGTCATATACATAAGATTTTAATTAATTAAACAATCCACCATTAATTATCCATAAGTAGTCACTTATATGTACATTGTTTACACACTAGTTTCTTCTTCACCACGTACCTATCATCAAGCTAAAGATTTTATTTTTATTTTTATCCTAGTAATGTGATGCATCTCTTTGATTAATTGATTCTTTTATTATCATAGAAAAACTTCCATGGCTCTTGCTCTATCCATTACATACCTACCATGAATTTGACAAAAAAAAATTCAAAAAATTTAATAAAAAAACAATTGAATTGGAAAATTCAAAAACCAGATATGCATGAGAGTAGAAGAAGTAGGATGGTAAGAAGAGTGAACACCACAAAGAAACTCATCGATCTTTTCCGCCTTCCACCACCACTCAACGACGACAAAGGAGATTATGCTTTATCAGTTTTTTTATGTGCCAACATCGATGATTATCTTCGATATGATATGCTCTGCTTAGATCCCATCATTTTCTAAAATCAAACAAACTTTTGCTGAAATTACATCATTGTCATGATACCCACAAGCTTCTCCATCTTCGTATCCATCAAATCTCTAAGTCAAAATTCAAAATCTAAATCTTAATCTAAGATTTTCACATCAAAATTGGAATCCGTCATTCTTTATCGAAAACTCTAATTATTTAGTTTTGTCCACTATACGCTATCCATAATTTTTTTTTATTTTTATGTAACTATTTATTATCATACATAAACTATCCATTTACCAACCAACAAATGTACAATAAAAATAAACAAAGTTTAATATAATTATACAAATAAATTATAGTAATATGGTTACTAACAGCTAATTAGTAGATTAATTCCTGTATTTAAAAATATATGTATAAGGTTTTAATTTTGTCCGGTCAGACTTTTGGGTTTAGTGGCGACATTGATTTTTAATTTTGCTCCCAAATCGTGACTCCTTTCTCCCTTCTCTCGTAGTAAAGGAAACGACGACATCCTCGCCTTCTCTTTTACAGTCACCGGCGATCAATCAAGAGTCGATCTTCCCGTAATCAGAGCTGAAAGTGCCTCAACGTGCAAAATTTCCATTTTAAAAAAAAAACCAAGGATGATAATAGTTCTTTTGCCATTGATGACAAGTGAACAAAGCTTTGAGCTTGTGGTACCCTGAGGACTGAGCGAGGAGATCGAATTTTAGAACTAATGGAGGAGAGATGCTTCGTCTATTTGGACACCGGAATGCTCCAAACTGGTGAATCGGAGAGAAACGCAAGCAAAGGCAGAGCGGCGTGAGGTGGCGGCGGTTGACAGCGAGCTGCTAAGGAAAGAGAAGCAAAGTTCTGGAAATGAGCCCGAGAAGGATTCCGGTTGGAAGCACAACCTAATGGTCTTCGCCGGCACGGTTTGAAAATAGACGGAGAATGAAGTAGAGGTATTGTCAGGAGCTGCGGAGGTTGCCGACGAGAAGTGTGACAGAGGGAAGCATAGATCTTTGGGAGATGAACCTCCGACGAGCACAAAAATTAACACGACTAGGACCAATAAACAGAGGAGACGACAGCGAAGGAAAACAAAACTTAGCGAAGCTGCCGGAAAACGAAGCCTCGGTGGTTGCAAGCTTAAGATCTTATTTTTGTTTTTTAGATCTAGCACATAAAGCTCTAATTATTTGGTTTTCAGATTAGAAAAAAAAAAAAGAGAGAGAAAGAAGGACGAAAGTTGCAGAGGAGACAATGTTTTTTTTTTTTTTTGATAAGCTTTGTGAGGAGAAAGGATCACAATTCACAACCATCAGATCTAAACTAAAACTTTAAATCGGACGGTTCAAATGATTCATTTTCTCTTCACTTAGTTAGCTTCTTGTTTCAGTTGTTTGTGTTTCCAGGGCAGTATTGTCATAAAAAGAGTGAACAGTACAAAAAAATGATGAAAAAGTACCCACTACCCCCAAAGTACCTCAAATGCTCATACTATCTCAAAATGTGCCCCAACTTGCGAGAAACCCTAAAAGAAACGAACCTTGGCTTTGTTTCTGAATTTTACTTTTTTTATTATTAATTTAGTCTAAGGAAATTTGTAAGAAACTCATAAAAACCCCCAATGCGGACAGTCTAATACGAAGAGTTGATTTGTAGCGCCATTTTTTTCAGTTGATTTGCCTTGCGGTCGGATAATTCACATGGATGATAATGATATTGTTTCTTCTCAGCGTAACTCTAATACGGCGTCGCACATAGCCATAAACTCGTTCAAAGTCACACTGCTTGCCGTTTCTTAAAAACTACGTACCGTTTTCATTTCAACAGAAAAAACTACACGTCATTTCAGGTTAGGTTAAATGTGTAATTGTGGTTCAGTTAAAATGTCGGTTCGTCTTTTTTTGGTTTGTCCTCGGTCTTGAATTATTAGTAGTTTCGATTCGGATTCGGTTACTCCTTTATAAATGTGGTTCGGATTTGGATTTAATTTTGTTGAAAATCTAAAAGGTATAAACATTTTTCAGACCAAGTGAAAATTTACTTTCTTGGATCAGACTTTGTTCGTTTTGTTCGGATCGGTTTAACTGAATTCAACTTTAGAAGTCAAAAAGGCAGAGGAACACACTCGTTATGATAGGATGGGACTAATTTTTTTTTTTTTTAACAAAAAAATTTCACCATTTTAAAATTAAACTACAAAATCGCCAGTGCGTTATGCTATTATGGGGCACATTCTTTCATTTATAGTCTCAGCTCTGTGGTTGCAGGGACAATGCCTTCACCATGAACACTAATGATCTCTTTGCCTGCAAGACCCTTGAGCAGCTCAGCTGTATCTTTAGCTCCTCCATGTTTGAAAAACTTCTCTCTGATCCTCTTCACATATTGATTGCCATATCGTTGACGCAAAGCACTTGGCGTAGATGTAGCTATAGTAACCTGCACATAGACAGCAGAGTTAAATGTAGCTTAGCGTAAATGTAGCCACGAATTGGAACACTTGTATGCATTTGTGTAGAGAGATGTATTTATACCTGCTCCATAGTTAAGTAGGTGACTGAACCGGATATGCCAATGTGTTCCATCGACATGGTTCCAGCTCGTGTGTTCCCGTTTCAGTTCATACACGAGTTGACTCATGTCTCTTGCTGGCTCTGGTTGTTCTCCGAATATCATTTGGTCTATCAACGCATAAAACACCTATAGCAGAATACCAAACATCAACTAACGTTGAATCTCTGTCTCTAACCCATTTTTTGTTTTCTGCATTGAGTATATTTTGAGAGTTGAATTCAATTAATCAAACCTGGCGTTGCATTTCAGTTGCTGCAAACATGTTCCTCGCACCTTGTAATGAGTTCACCAACTTCTCGGGTATTATCTCACCGGTTGAGTGGTGCCGAGCAAATCTCTTCAAGAGGCGATAGTCCCATGCATAGTACCTGAGGAACGCATGATGACATTCATTATGTACCACACTACCACTAGAAGATTTTGCAACACAAAATTGAAAAAGATCTATATACTCACTCAAATAGATTTGAAGGCATTTCCGCTAAGTCAAGAGCCACCCGAGTACCGGAAAAATGTTGGTAATCCTGCAACACCCAGAACACAGTGCTACCAGTAAAACAAGAACGAAATTTAAGGTGGGGTGGGGGGTTCGTAATTAGCTTCCTGTAGCAATATAAGAATTTGTGCAACACCGTTCGTGAGAGCAGAGAATGCAGAGCATGTCCGAATTCGTGGAACATAACTTCAACTTCAGAGTGATTAAGCTTTACGACTGACGAATCACGATTCACGAGCACGTGAAAAAAACTGCAAACAAGAGCCAAAACCTGCCGTACAATCAGATCAACATGCAGCGTGTAAGAATATAATACTTAACCATACATCTGAAGTAATGAAAGAGAGAGGATAAAAAGAAATTTGATCAAGCATACAGGAAGTTGGTATTCTGTCTCAGAAATCTTGCGTCCTCCTTTGATTGCAAAGCTAGCACAGCCAGGGTACTTGCCTTTTCTTGAGAACAAGTCAAGGTAAATAAACCCGAGATCACCCTGAAAAAGACAAAGGCATAATTTGTGAGAATGAGGGAGCAAAGATTTTCAAATAACTATATTGAGTTTACATCTACATGATGTGTACAGGGATTATTAGTTTCGTGAACACCATACCTCGTCCGGGTGGGAGGAACAGTGTTAAATGTTGCACCAAATCATGATTCGACAAGCACTTTTAGGCCTTCAATACACTGAGGCAGAGGAAAATACGATGCTACAACCTGTACAAGAATTGAATATTCCAACGGAGCATGATAAGACAAATGCTTTCATTCCAAAAATATCCCAAAAGATACCAGAAAAGATCAACAATAAGTGATCTGCTGCAAGACATTAAACAGAAAGTAAAAAACAAAAACAAATCTTACAGCAGTGTCCACATCATTGACGGAGGATTTCATCATTGAAGTATAGTAAGCTTCATCCCATGGCTCTAATTCAGCAGATGTATCACCACATTTCTCTCTTTTGAAGTCTCTAGTGGCAATGTATTCCTACGGAGATGAACACTGATTATTAGAGCCATTACAATAATATCATAAAAATACCAGATTTTGTAGATATAGTATGAAGGTCAGCGTACTTCGTCCGCCTTTGGTTTGACTGTCTTGCTCAGTTCTTGTAGGAACGAGGTCACAACCTTTGGTGATTTTGCTAGGTTTGGCTCGACCATGAAGTCAGCGTAAGAATTACACCCCATCATGCAATCTTTCAGCACCATTAATGAAAATTTAATATTATAGAGCATCGTAAATGAATATGCACTAACCTGGGCAAGCTCATGGCGTGAAGCAATAAGCTTCTCAAGAACACCGTGATTTGCGTGAGGAACAGAGTTCCCTTGAATATACACCATTTTTCTAACCTGATAATAAAGGTATCAAAATGACAGTGGTCAGCAGAAAATTGGATGTAGGTGCATTTTTATCCAACTTCAAAGCACATATCCATGTTTTCCACTTCTGTCCCTGAGGTTTGGGTGTCAGAAGAAGGAAATAGAACAAAATGGGTAAAGTAAGCACCTCTTCGTCTGATGTCCATTGCAAAATGGAAGAAAGGGTTCGTGGATCAGTAGGTATTTGAAATCCCTTCTGTTTCGGACCCTCTGAGACCCCCTGAAATGGACCTGTAGATAGGGCTGAGAAGATGATGCAGGTGTCGAGGGATGCGTGATACTGGAAACATATCAACATGCCCCTGGATCATCAGCAATGTTTTCGCTGAACCTAAATACAGATCATCAGAAATTACCACTAACAGCACAAAGCACCATTATAAATTAATATTTTCAACAGAATCGATACATGTGTATTCATGGGGTACTCACTCACTGCATAGCTAAAAAATGTTGGTTGTTAAGTTATTCACTTTATCTAGCTTCTTCTGTAAGCAAGTTGGAATCTTGCTCTGCTTTTTTCACCGCAGCATACAAAGTATGGTTTGTGTTAAGATGCTGCACATCAACAACCCAAGAAAATCAAGTCACTGGAATAAGGTAAGAGATTCCAAAGAACAAACATCGACTCACATCTAAGCAAGAGAAAAATGGTTAAAGATGACAAAAGGTAAGGTTAATTATCGTGTCTTGAATCTAGGCATTTCCAAGACTCAAATGCGTAAACTGAAGAAAGAAGAATCGAAGTAGAGTAAGTCCTTGGTCACCTCACATGTAGATAGTCATTCATATCCATTGCTGCTTTATGAGCTGCCTCATCAAACTCACTATCATATATATGGAGCAAAAGCAAACCGGTTGAAGGAAAATTCAATAGAACAAAAAGTACTGAAGCTCAGAACAAGAGAGAATAAAGACCTGTCAGGATGGGTTTGTCGACAAAGTTCAGCAGAGTCAACAACAGAACAAACCTACAACATTCAGACCATAACAAAATCACTACAATCAACATGAGGGCTCGTAACAAGAACAGTAACAACACAACTAAAGCAAGAACCTACCGTGTCTGAAATCTCATCCATGGCTTTAATAATCTCTGGAGACGAAGGCATTCCTGATATGTAGCTAACTAACTCCCCAGACCTGAGAGAGAAATGGTTACAGAAACTTTCTTTAATAACCAAACAACATCACAACACAAGCACAGTAACTCTCTTCCATAACATATAAGGTTCTCTAGTGAAGAGAGAGACATCCTGATTCATGATATGACTGAACAAACACAGGGTGATTCGGAGACATTCTTTACGGTAAAAATCAAACCTTTCAATGGCATCAGCGACGAAACGCTGACATCCTTTGGCCGTTTTAAGATGATCGAAGCCGTAGGGACTAGTGGCGTCTTTAGACTCTCCACTCCTGAAGTTTCGGACCAACCATGGGGTCGAATTGATATGCGGCCGGAATCGTGACGTCAGCTTCCACATTCTCTGCTACTTTCTGGCGGCTTGCGACGGAGGACTTGAGGTTTTGGTAGGGGACAAAAGCTCTGTGATACCGTGAATAACGTGTTGTTTTGAGATAATGAAAACGGCATGGTGTTTAGAACGTGAACTGAAAAACCACAGAGCCCAGACCACACTGAAAGTCAAGAGACCCATCATCACAAAGCCTAATGGAATTTTTGTTCGCAAGTTTCCTAAACTCCTTCACTGCCTAAGCGTTTTTTTTTTTTTTTTGATAACCCAGTGTCCAGACCACACTGTGATCCGACTAGCCCACTGGGCCTAAGCCCGCCTAAACGTTGTGTGTTTGGAAATAATTAAAATGACGTCGTTTTAAATTGGGACGAATCTCCAATACTTGAAATTAAATCAGACCAAAAATGTAAATAATCTTAGTTGAGGTATTATTATTTTTTCTATAAGAATTTTACTTTTCTTCCTTGGGTAAGCATGAGTTTGGGGCAGTTTTTCAAGACTGATCGAACTTGATGGGCTAAGTCACTCCATTTCTGAAAATCAAAATATTAGTTGCTTGGTTATGTTTAAATTATGTAATTTACTATGATATAATTTTCCCCCAATTTAAAACGACGTCGTTTTAATTATTTCCAAACACATGACACTTTGGGTTTATAAGTTAAAAAGATTGAGGAATACTTGATGAACGTTGTGGGATCAGTTGGTATTTGGTGCTTCCCATGTGACTACGGCTCGCGGGTTCGAGTCCCCAGTTTTGCAAAAAAAATTAAAACTTTGAGAACACATATCAAAACGACATTGTTTTGATACACGTCAGCGTACACGTGTACGATGACTCAGCACCGTAACGGACTTGACTAACACCCGTTAGATTGACTCCGATTTTTGCACGTTGTATCAAGTATAGGGTATAAGATTCAAATTTTATTGAAGTTTAAGTTGTAAAATACCCTACAAAATTGTCTAGGTATGAAAATCCACGGCGCAGACAGTACGGGTATGAAAACGACGTCGTTTTGATACACGTCAGCGTACACGTGTACGATGACTCAGCACCGTAACGGAGTTGACTAACACCCGTTAGATTGACTCCGATTTTTGCATGTTGTATCAAGTATAGGGTATAAGATTCAAATTTTATTGAAGTTTAAGTTGTAAAATACCCTACAAAATTGTCCAGGTATGAAAATCCACGGCGCAGACAGTACGGGTATGAAAACGACATCGTTTTGATACACGTCAGCGTACACGTGTATGATGACTCAGCACCGTAACGGAGTTGACTAACACCCGTTAGATTGACTCCGATTTTTGCACGTTGTATCAAGTATATGTATGAAATTCAAATTTTATTGAAGTTTAGGTTGTAAAATACCCAACAAATTTATCCAGGTATGAAAATCTACGGTGTAGATAGTACGGGTATGAAAATCCCCTTTTCCCAAGTCAAGAGACCCATCATCACAAAGCCTAATGGAATTTTTGTTCGCAAGTTTCCGAAACTCCTTCACTGCCTAAGCGTTTTTTTTTTTTTTGATAACCCAGTGTCCAGACCACACTGTGATCCGACTAGCCCACTGGGCCTAAGCCCGCCTAAGCGTTTTTAGAAGAAAATTATACCTTCACTGCCTTGTATTCGTTTTATTTTATTTTAATACAAACAATGGACTAATCTGCAAATCTTCTAATCTCAATAAGATTTTTAACAAATCTAATGAATCCGTAAACTTATTTATTTTTTAGAAATGTAACATTTACCGGAAAAAACGTAACAGCTGTTAAAAGTTACAAATTCCAGAGTCAACAATCAATCATCACCCACCTATTTTTTAGAAATGTAACATTTACCGGAAAAAACGCAACAGCTGTTAAAAGTTACAAATTCCAGAGTCAACAATCAATCATCACCAACCTCTCAGACTGTAGAAATCATGAAACTGCTGCATGTAGAGGTTTTTCTCTAAACGATAGTTCTCCTTCACGTATCTTCCAGCTAAGTACCCAAATGTCACCCAAGTTTCGGCGAGTAAGTTAAAGCTGGTTCGTGATGGAATCAAACCTGATCTTGGGGGCTCGTCACCAAGTGCAAGAAACCGTCCGAATTCGCAGCCGGCAGCTCGAGCTGCTCGAAAAACAACATGTATTGTGACTTCGGTATCAATATCATCATCTTCTGCGTTTCCAGTGTTAAACGCCCTGCAGAACAGGTTGAACGGATTTTGGAGCTGGAGTGGCTGGTTTGTGATCTCCTCCACCAACTCGTATCCTTCCCTACGTCCAATTTTGCTTTCGTCCATCACAACAAATTGTAGTCCCGTACAAAATGCCTCGTAATCAATCTCTCCATCAGACTCAGAGCTTTCAGACTCAGAGCTTTCAGATTCAGAGCTTTCAGATTCAGAGTTTTGAGTAGACAACGAGAGCTCCTTTTCCTGGTTCTCAACAGTTTGCTCCTGCAAACAAATACAAAAGTTTGTCACTACAATGAACAAGCAAACAGAGAAAGACTTATGTAAATGAACATAGTGCCCATGACAACAGAAGCAAACAGAGAAGACTTATGTATGACAAATGTTTATCACTACAATGAACAAGCAAACAGAAGCAAACAGAGAAGACTTATGTAAATGAACATAGTGCCCATGACAGAGTTTTTTTAATCACTACACCTTAAGGACGAGAACAAGAACGCCTCGCTCATTGGCCTTCCTCTCCAGCCATAACTCTTCATCATCTTTCAGAATGTTCCCATTGTGAATCAACAATTGCTCCCCACATGGATAATTGTCCTTCCCTTCTGAATCCTCTATTAACTTCTTAATAGACATTATCTAAAAAAGCAAACAAATCACCAATTTAATCATTCAGAAACTTGTTATGCTAACATAAAGGATTCGAGAGTTACTAACCGTGTTAGTCGGTTGGACCATGACTTCAAAAACCCTACCCTTCATAGTCTTAACAGTGAGACTCTCTTCAGTGACCACAAGATTGCTCTCTTCAGTGATCTGGTTCTCCACTAAGCTATCATCTTTCAGACTCTTCTCATTTTGCTGCCCCCTCTGAGAACAAATGACCACACCATAGAAAAAATCGCCAGGTATTAAACACTAGTAGAAACAATCCGTTAATAAACCAAATTGTGTATCTGAAGAAACCTAAACTAATCTACTTTCCTATGCATAAACCAAATTGTGTATCTGAAGAAACCTAAACTAAACCCTAAACTAAACCCTAAACCCTAAACCCTAAACCCTAAACCCTAAACCCTAAACCCTAAACCCTAAACCCTAAACCCTAAACCCTAAACTAATCTACTTTCCTAAACTAATCTACTTTCCTAAACTAATCTACTCCGCTTGCACGAAGAAAGATAAACGAGTACTAACCTCATGAGAGGGCTTCACATCGTCGGGATTCATAATGTCGGGAAAGAGGAAGATGTCGCCCTGAGAGGAACAGAGAGAGACCGGAAAAGCTCACCACTCACGAAGAGAGACGACGAGTTTCTTTGGTGCTTGCTTCTCTTCGCTCTCTCACTAAGAGAGACGCCGAGTTTCTGCTTCTTGCTTTTTCTATCAGAGATCCCTACCCTTTCGATTTCGATTTTATAGGGTTTGGAAATCTCGTGCAACCCTCGTGACCGACTCTCTCCAATTTATTGGGCTTTGTGATGGCAATAATACGAAAGCATATTAGGCCCACAAACTTTTTTCCATATTGTTTTGATTTTCCGGCGCTATTTATTTGAGTCCGGAGTAAAAGATGCCCATTGTCGAAAAACAGTCAAGAATTTGACTTCTTTATTTATTTTATTTGTGGTTTACCAAATTATATGTGTTTATATTTGTGCAGCGAAAAAGTAGTGATTCCGAGGGAGAAGAAAAAGATAATAATGCAAGGAAACAATGCATCAAAAGTGATAATTCATCTACAAGAGATTTATTAGATAACGTTAGTTTAGTAACGACGGTTCAATAAACGACGTAAAGATATAAAGTGGGAAGGGATTTAGCGTCGGTTTAATAAACGACGTAATAAACCGACGACAATTTATTAACTCATTTGCAGAGAAAGCTTCGTGTAAACATAAAAAATTAGGTTAATAAATCGAAATCTCAAAATTATGTTGAGAATCAAAATCTCTTCCCTTACACGAAGGTTCGTCGATTTTGGTAAAGCTTAAAGTGTGAGAAAGCTTCGTCGATTCTGGCAAACTTACATCGAATATTCACATAGAAAGCTTCTCAAAGCCGGAGCTTCGTCGATTTTGATCCATGAATATTCACAGAGAAAGCTTCTCAAAGTCGGAATCGCAGAACTTAAATTAGTCACCAGAGGTTTCTGTTTCCTGCTTCTCCGATTGTGTTGTGAATTGTTCATCTCTTGATTCGATTCAGCATTTGAGTTTTTTCTTCTCCATCTCCGGAAATTCGCGTCTTCAATAGCTCAACAAGGTTGGTACGCCATAGATTTCTTCGAATTTGTTGTGTTTATGAAGGATATAGTGGGTTTGGGGAAGAATTTTCAGCGGTGGTGAACCTCAAAATTTACAGAGAACTTTAGGTACTCTTCTTACTGAATCTAAGTTTCTTTCGATCTTGAAAACTATGGTGAATTGGTAACAAGAGAATTCATATGAATTTGTGGCTAGATTTGTTCTTTCAATCTAAATTTGAATTGAATGATCTGTAAAATGTTCTTGAGAATTGGGATGTGCATTTAGTTGATCCTTGTAGTTGGAGAATGGTCACTTGCAGTGATGGCTATGTCTCTGCACTATTTCTGAGACTGAGACTGTCTTGTTTTCTTAATGAAACAGGGGACTTCCTAGCCAATGCATGTCTGGTACATTGTCTCATAGAACCATAAACCTCACCTATCTACAAGTTATTATAGCCTTTGCTATGTTTGATTCTTGTTCTGCAATTTTTCTTCTTGCTGAGCTTAAGGTTTTGTGGTATAGGTTGTTGCAAAAAATGCAATCTTTGACCACTTCACTATACAATTGGAGTTGGAGAAGGTTCAGATGTCAATAACACTTGGAGAATACTAGAACTTGTATTACTTGTGATTTGCTGCTTCAGTTGCTCTCTCTCGATGTGGTGAGGAACTTGGTTTTGGTTTTGTTGTAAATGTAACTAAGCAGGCTAACATGGAAAAGTGCCTGGTAAGAATGATACACTACTTGGTACCATCTGGTTTTGATGTCTCAGTGGTCAAGATATCTGATTTTGAACCAGATGTTCCATGTAGGGTAATTTTGAAGCTACTGTTACTACGTACAGAGAAGCTCCGAATAAAACGCTAGTTGGAAAAGAAAATTTAGAAACCACCGAACTGCTGTATGTTCATTTTTCTCGCCTCAAGTACATGGTAAGTAATGTGTCTTACTCGCAAAGGTTTTTATTTCAGTTATCTGTTAATAACATGTCAAGATTTAGAGCTATGGGAACTGTCTGGGTTACTTCCTTACCTTCAATGCATCACATCTTTTAGAATTTGTTCATTATCTTATGGTTTTCTTCCATTTCGTAGATTACAAATAGTGCTTATGATGCAGTTCAGATTCTGATAGAAGGCAATGAGAAAGTTCATCACTGCAAACTACTTCTTGAGGTGTGTTAATTGGCTGGCAGTTTGAATCCCACATGGAAATCATGTTTTTCCACTGAATTTCTGTAAACATATGTTACTGTCTTTGATATGGAATCTTGAAGTTGGATACAGTACCTGTCACTGGTGAGGCTTTAATATGTTTTTTGGATTTTGAATTAAATTCTTTTACTGAATTGGAAGATTAAGAGTATGAATGACATAGTAAAAGACTCTGGATTTATTAGTATTATTACTCTTCTTTCCTCATAGTAATGAAGCTAGAGCAAGCTTATTTTTTTTTCCTATTTTGGAATGTCTGTTTAAGTACCAGTTAACTATTGTTTCAGGTGCCGTGTCATGGAAGTTGGGTCATTTGAAGATGAAGAAGTGGCAAAACTCATGAACGATTCGTTCGCTAGTATCAAGGTAAACACACTCTTAACATCATAGGAGCATTTGGTTCGATCCCGAATACGTTTCTACAAGAACATTCACCAAGAAAAGCGATGTTTATAGCTTTTGGGTTTTACTCTTTGAGCTTAGAGCTGGAAGAAATCCTCAACAAGGTCTAGTGGAATTGGTTGAGCTGGTAATGGAATTGGTTCAGCTGGTAATGGAATTGGTTAAGCTGTTAATTGTACCTGTAATAATATGTTTATCTTTTGTAAGACAGAGTTACAAAATTATATTATTTTGTGTATAAACAAATAAATTTAATAAATGGAATAATATGGATCAGCTTTTTAAATTATTAGTTGAATTATGTTTCTTATTATTTTTATTACATTCAATAAATAATTAATATAAATAGAAAATGATGCATACTTGCGTCGGTTGTATAATTGACTCTAAGCTAAAATTTTAAGGTCAAACTAAAACCGATGCTAAATTCAAAACAAACCGACGTTATTCTTTTGACGCTAAACATGACGTCATTTATTTAAGTGAAGCCAAAAATGTTTGCGTCATGCAATGTTACGACGTTTAAGAAACTGACGTTAAAATGTTCACGTCTGTTTAACACCGACGTAAAGTATTGAAACAAACGACGTTAAAAGCCGTGTTTTCCCAAGTCAAGAGACCCATCATCACAAAGCCTAATGGAATTTTTGTTCGCAAGTTTCCTAAACTCCTTCACTGCCTAAGCGTTTTTTTTTTTTTTTTGATAACCCAGTATCTAGACCACACTGTGATCCGACTAGCCCACTGGGCCTAAGCCCGTCTAAACGTTTTTAGAAGAAAATTATACCTTCACTGCCTTGTATTCGTTTTATTTTATTTTAATACAAACAATGGACTAATCTGCAAATCTTCTAATCTCAATAAGATTTTTAACAAATCTAATGAATCCGTAAACTTATTTATTTTTTAGAAATGTAACATTTACCGGAAAAAACGTAACAGCTGTTAAAAGTTACAAATTCCAGAGTCAACAATCAATCATCACCCACCTATTTTTTAGAAATGTAACATTTACCGGAAAAAACGCAACAGCTGTTAAAAGTTACAAATTCCAGAGTCAACAATCAATCATCACCAACCTCTCAGACTGTAGAAATCATGAAACTGCTGCATGTAGAGGTTTTTCTCTAAACGATAGTTCTCCTTCACGTATCTTCCAGCTAAGTACCCAAATGTCACCCAAGTTTCGGCGAGTAAGTTAAAGCTGGTTCGTGATGGAATCAAACCTGATCTTGGGGGCTCGTCACCAAGTGCAAGAAACCGTCCGAATTCGCAGCCGGCAGCTCGAGCTGCTCGAAAAACAACATGTATTGTGACTTCGGTATCAATATCATCATCTGCTGCGTTTCCAGTGTTAAACGCCCTGCAGAACAGGTTGAACGGATTTTGGAGCTGGAGTGGCTGGTTTGTGATCTCCTCCACCAACTCGTATCCTTCCCTACGTCCAATTTTGCTTTCGTCCATCACAACAAATTGTAGTCCCGTACAAAATGCCTCGTAATCAATCTCTCCATCAGACTCAGAGCTTTCAGACTCAGAGCTTTCAGATTCAGAGCTTTCAGATTCAGAGTTTTGAGTAGACAACGAGAGCTCCTTTTCCTGGTTCTCAACAGTTTGCTCCTGCAAACAAATACAAAAGTTTGTCACTACAATGAACAAGCAAACAGAGAAAGACTTATGTAAATGAACATAGTGCCCATGACAACAGAAGCAAACAGAGAAGACTTATGTATGACAAATGTTTATCACTACAATGAACAAGCAAACAGAAGCAAACAGAGAAGACTTATGTAAATGAACATAGTGCCCATGACAGAGTTTTTTTAATCACTACACCTTAAGGACGAGAACAAGAACGCCTCGCTCATTGGCCTTCCTCTCCAGCCATAACTCTTCATCATCTTTCAGAATGTTCCCATTGTGAATCAACAATTGCTCCCCACATGGATAATTGTCCTTCCCTTCTGAATCCTCTATTAACTTCTTAATAGACATTATCTAAAAAAGCAAACAAATCACCAATTTAATCATTCAGAAACTTGTTATGCTAACATAAAGGATTCGAGAGTTACTAACCGTGTTAGTCGGTTGGACCATGACTTCAAAAACCCTACCCTTCATAGTCTTAATAGTGAGACTCTCTTCAGTGACCACAAGATTGCTCTCTTCAGTGATCTGGTTCTCCACTAAGCTATCATCTTTCAGACTCTTCTCATTTTGCTGCCCCCTCTGAGAACAAATGACCACACCATAGAAAAAATCGCCAGGTATTAAACACTAGTAGAACAATCCGTTAATAAACCAAATTGTGTATCTGAAGAAACCTAAACTAATCTACTTTCCTATGCATAAACCAAATTGTGTATCTGAAGAAACCTAAACTAAACCCTAAACCCTAAACCCTAAACCCTAAACCCTAAACCCTAAACCCTAAACCCTAAACCCTAAACCCTAAACTAATCTACTTTCCTAAACTAATCTACTTTCCTAAACTAATCTACTCCGCTTGCACGAAGAAAGATAAACGAGTACTAACCTCATGAGAGGGCTTCACATCGTCGGGATTCATAATGTCGGGAAAGAGGAAGATGTCGCCCTGAGAGGAACAGAGAGAGACCGGAAAAGCTCACCACTCACGAAGAGAGACGACGAGTTTCTTTGGTGCTTGCTTCTCTTCGCTCTCTCACTAAGAGAGACGCCGAGTTTCTGCTTCTTGCTTTTTCTATCAGAGATCCCTACCCTTTCGATTTCGATTTTATAGGGTTTGGAAATCTCGTGCAACCCTCGTGACCGACTCTCTCCAATTTATTGGGCTTTGTGATGGCAATAATACGAAAGCATATTAGGCCCACAAACTTTTTTCCATATTGTTTTGATTTTCCGGCGCTATTTATTTGAGTCCGGAGTAAAAGATGCCCATTGTCGAAAAACAGTCAAGAATTTGACTTCTTTATTTATTTTATTTGTGGTTTACCAAATTATATGTGTTTATATTTGTGCAGCGAAAAAGTAGTGATTCCGAGGGAGAAGAAAAAGATAATAATGCAAGGAAACAATGCATCAAAAGTGATAATTCAATATAATGATGCAGGACTAGCCAATTCGAGTGGTCCTTTCACATTAAACGCCGAATACTTCATCGCTATCAATACTACGTTCATGGTTAGGTTTTATATATTGTAGTTACTACAAATCATATGTTTACATCTACTAATCATCTTCTTTAATCTTAAATGTTGACTTCTCAAACAGAATAATGTTTTCTTAAGTATAAATATTTATGACATAATTATACTTTGAACATTTTAGAAATGTCAAAAGCCTATGGAAAAATCTAAAGTGGTGAAACAAAAAAATTGGTTTATTTATATTTAATTAAATATATTGTGAAACTGACATTTTTACTTCTGCAGAATACTTACACCAAGAGGACACCAATTGTACCGTATGAAGACATAAACGTAGCTCCATCAGTTATACTAACCGCGGACAAGGTGTGGTTCTATAACTGTAGGTTCATCAGTGTCCAAGACACAATAGCTGATTTACTAGGCCGCCACTACTTCCAAAACTGTTACATCGAAGGAGCTATCGATTTCATATGGGGACGAGGCCAATCTATATACCAAGTAATTTCATATAACTCTCATATAATGGCTAAGTATAGAGATGTTAAATATTAGTAAGATAAGTTTGTGTGTGGATGCAGAACTGCATTATATACGTTAAAAGAGTGACAAGAAATGGAATGGTGTGAAGAGAGAACAAATGTTAACAGGATTCATAACCGCGCAAGGGAGAGAAAGCGAAGAAGACACAAGTGGATTCGTGTTCAAGAATTGTGAGATTAAAGGAAGTGGTAAAGCATTCTTGGGAAGAGCTTATAGAGGCTACTCTAGATGAGTTGTTTTCTATGAAACCAACATGTCAAGTGTTATTGTACATCCAGGATGGGATGCTTGGAAATATAAAGGCCAAGAGTACGTAACGTTTCTTCTCTTTAATTTATTTATAATATATGCAATTTATCATATATTTGGTTATACATATTTTAACGATAGTTTTGAATTACATAAATCATGCATAATTTTACATATGCGGAGGTAAGTGACAAACTAAATTTCTTATGAACTTCAATTTAAAGATTTTTTACAAAACTCCAAGGATAACTTCTATTTTTAGAAGTTTTTTTAATTTCACTCATCAATTTAAATTCTAGTGCTAAATTTCATACTAATGGTTTCATCTTTAGTTACAGGAATTAATTAAAAAAAAAATTATTTCTTTTTTATATCTATTTCACTCCATAAAAGTATGAGCGTGCTATGTTTCATTTTAATGATTTTATTAAAACTAAATTTAATTTTCGTGAAACATATGATTTTATTTTTTTAATCTTAAAGGCCAATATTTTTTTATGAAGCTTTTTGTTTTCAAGAAACACTTAAACCTCAAATTTTAAATAAAAGTAACATTATAACGATCTTTATATAATTATCTAATGGATCAGAAAAAGCTAAATATAATGATACATATATTAAAAATGAATTACAAAAATTTATTTAAGATAATAAAGAGGTAATAAAAAGTTATTTGATATATGTGCTACAATAGTTTATTTATTAAATATTTCATAATTAAAAAACAAATACATGGATATGTTAGAAAATAATTAAACATCTAAAGTAGAAATTGGAGATGGATCTTCTTAACATTATTTTCCTTGTTGTACGATGATTAGAATTGATATTCTTAATTCTCCATCACCAATAAACCTGAAAGTTTTGTTATAATCATCAAAACTTTTATTTTGCTTCTGAAAATTAAAAAAATATATTATATGACATACTTTCTAAAATAAATTTAGAATCAAATTTTTACAATGATGGTTTCTTTGATATTAACCCATATAGCAATATAAAAAATAGATACATGGATATAGTGGAAAAATATGAGAAAATGACTACTTATAAGATAATAATCTAAAATAGACAATGGATATGAATCTTTAATAAATCAAAAAATAATGTAAGATATATATCATAGAGTCTCTAAAAATAAAATTTAGAACTATGCTTTTACAATGATTTTAAATTTGATTTTCTTAAACCCATACAACAATAACAACCACTCACCCAAAAAGGAAACTTACAAAAAAAAATTAAGATTCGAGATATAGTAGATGAGGATGAGAGAATGAGTGAATGAGAGAAGGGTGAGAACTGATGGGTGATGGGAGATACAATTTAAAAAATAAATTATGGGAGTTACAATTTAGTTTATTGTGTGTTGAATAAAATTGAATGAAGAAATATAGTTAATGCTTACTTTTTATGACTTCAATTTTATATAAAGTGTGAGTTAAATATATATAATTAAATGTGTTATTTATTTCTAGCTTAATTAAAAATAGTTATTTTTGTAAGTTTTATTGCCAAGTGGACCAATAAGGTGAGAGTGAAACCCTTCTTTTATATGTATAATTTTTAATTGATTAATTAATTACATATTAAAAAAAATAGAGATGGGTCGAAGATGCTTTAAATTTTACTTTTGTGTATTGACTTTTTCAATTGATGCAGTGAGATGATAATGATAAGTATGGAATTAATGATTCAAGACGGCATACAATATATTTTAGGAAAAATCACATTTTTAACCCTCAAAGTGTAACTGGGTAGCACTTTAAACCTCGAAAGAATTCTACTAACACTATAAACCACAAAGATTGTTTTACTATCACTTTAAACCTCCAAACTAGTTTTTCTATTTACAAAGCCATAAAAGATGATGGAACAATCAATTTATGTTTGTTTAATATATATTTATTTAGTTTAATTTAAATTTAAATTAGTTTTATTATTTATTACGACTTTGACGATAAATAAAAAAGTAAAAAAAAAATCATCATCTTCGACTATTCACCGTCCGACCACAATTTTTTAGATTTTTATTCAGTTTATTGTATGTGTTCCCCATCTTTTTTATTCAATTGGTATTATGAGATTCCAATTTATCCACTGGAAAGAGTGAAAACACTTATGGATTAGTCTAAAAGATTTTTCTAATAGTTCATAAAAAAAATTCATGGTCGGACAGTGAGTAAACGAAGAAAATAAAGTTTTTTTTTTGTTTTTAAAATTTTTTATTAATTGTAATAAATAATAAAATTAATTAAAATTTAAATTAAATGAAACAAATATATATTAAACAAACATAAGTTGATTGTTCCATCATCTTTTATGACTTTGCAAACAAAAAAGTTAGTTTGGAGGTTTAAAGTGTTAGTAAAACAATCTTGGTGGTTTATAGTGTTAGTAGAATTCTTTCGAGGTTTAAAGTGCTACCCAGTTACACTTTGAGGGTTAAAAATGTGATTTTCCCATATATTTTATGTTGGATTTCAATTTTGGGCAAAAAAGTCAACAAATTCAAACAAAATGAAAGTCAAAAGAATAAATCAAGTATTTTCTCTGTTTTAAATTTTTAATATTTAAACATTTTGTATACAAATTAAGAAATTATTTAATTTTTATTTATTTCTAAACTAAAACATCATTTATTATTTTATCAAAATATTATTCAACTAACAATAACACAATATAAATCGTCAAAACTAATAATAAAAATATTAATTTTACACTAAAATTAAAAATATTATCTAATTTAAAATATATTTTTCTCTTAAAACATTAGATACAGAGGAAATTTTCTCTATAGGATTTTTGGTTTGTTTTGTTGGAATTTAGGATGAATATTAAGAACAAGCAAGCGTGTTGAAATTTAATTTTTTGGAGACTGAGTCTTACGTATCACCCAATCAACAGTTCGATATCATATAGATTACTTAAGTTAAAGAACATGAATTGGTTAAGTTCGGTATTTCGTATACAAATGTGTAAGTGTGGATGAGGTAAGATAAACTTACAAGAAATAAAACTGACAAGAGCTTCGTTAACGAGGTTCGGTTTTTTCTATTCCTCGGGACCAAGTCCAGATTTTAATTTGACCAGAACAAGAAAGCAAATACAACATATTCGCAAACGCGTAAACCAAACAAAACCCTCTTGATTCACCGTTCTGTTCTATAACGTGAACTCTTAAGGATAATCTCTACCCTTAACTAAACTCCAATGAGCCTAGATTTAATCAGGATAACATAACCCTGGGCTAAACTCCCTCTGAACCTAGACTTCAATTCTCCAAGTATCTGGAACAACCGTCATACCAACGATCCCAACGATGACACCAAAGCACTCCAACACGTCGACAACACCAACACACAAATAAGTTTGATCACACAAACACCAAACCGCAAAATTAAGTTGCAACACAATCTCAAAAAGCTCTCTCGGATTTTTATTTATGTCTAAGTCTCACGATCCTCCAAAACGTGCACAGCTCCCCCATATATAGCCAACATGATTTCCTAATCAAGATAGGAGAAGGTTTCCAAATTCTATAAGCAAAAGTAAAATTTCCTTTGACACTTTTCATTTTTCTTATCAAACTCCACTTTCATTAAATCTTCCAAAACTCTTATTTAGTCCCTTTCCCTTTCTGGTCCATCCAAAACGTGCTCTAATCTTGTCTGCACAAAACTTTTAGAAACCAACACTCACACAAAAACTATAGCAATCATGTATCACTTCCTATGTCATACAACAACTCCATCAGACATAGCAACTACATCTTCAAAATTTACTTCACCAAATTCTTTAATTAGATCGCT